CACTATTATTATATCAGATTGTTGACTTAATTCAAGATATATAGGTCGTATTGATTTAGTAATGTTATGATATTATAAATCCAAAGGTATATAGTGTTATGATGTTGTTTTAATTTTTTTTAAACCTGTAGACGAGTCATAGACTGATGGTTAGGGCGCTCGATCAATCCCATTATTCGTCAGTAAAAGAAAAGCCCAAGAGTTGGCGGTGTTGACTATCACTGCTAAATTAGCGACTGTGTTGATGCAGTGTTATGATATTATTTTAGTTGAACAGGCGTGGTAATTAGATACATGCTATCATCAAAATCTAAGTTATCACACCTATAAAACCGTAGTTTTCTACCGCTAGGGATAGGCATACCTATGGTGTTATTCACAACCTGCATTCTGCTGCTAACACTTTCTGCCAACCGTTGGAACATACCTGGAGGAACAGTCCGTTACTCCTCTTAGAAAGGAGTTATTCTGCTGTTTGGAGCCCATTTTAATGTGAAATAGGTGAACATTTGGTGTTAATCACAGCCTAGATTATATTTCCAAATACGTGCTACCAACTGCTGGAATACAGCTGGTGCAACAGCCCGTTACTCCTTTGGAATCTAACATCCCTCAGATGTCGTATCAAAACTCACAAAGCGTTTGTTTTTGGAGTTATGGCTTGCACAAGGCAGATTCTTAAACAATGTGTCAAACTACTTCTAGATGAAATGTGTGCTATGCCATAAGACACTATCATGCTGAAGAAATGTTGTTCTTCCTATAAAATACTATCAATGCAGACAATCCAAGACTTCCCAGAACACCACAATACAAAACTGTCCTGTCCCTGAATATTCTATGAAAAGTGCTAGAAATGACCTGAAACATATATACGTTAATCCCCTGGGTAATAAGAAATAGTGAGAAATTGAAAATAGATAACATATCAGGACCAGTCAAGATTTTAAAGGATGTCGAAGATCAGATATCCGAACCTCTCTCTCAGTCCTGGTAGGTCAACAGACCTTGGGCACGTGCCTGGCGATTGTAGAGTTGCTATTGTTACTCATATTTTAAAAAGAGTTGCCATAGAAATAACAAATCATTTAAAATTCTTTTATCAGACAGTAATAAAAAAATTCTATACTGTATGATAAAGGAATCTTATCGAAGGCACTTAATGAAATAGGAAATCATAAGAGAAAGCCCAAATAGATTCTCCAAAGATAAATCTTGTTTTAGTAAGCTATTAAGTTTTTCTTAAGATGTTTCTTGTTATCTATATAATAGAAAGGCTGTAGATTTGGTGTGCTTAGATTTTCAAAAGGCTTTTTATTAAGTGCCACACAGAATATTAGCTAAACAAATTACGACAGTAAGGATTTGGGGAGAAACTATTTAATTGGATTATAGGACTATTTGGATGAAAAAAAGCAAAATGTTTTTATTAATGGAAGCGAGACTCAGACTCGATCATTGCTTGGGCCCTTTATATCAATAATACTGATGGAAATATCATTAATAAATTAGTAAAGTTTGCTGATTACCTTAAACTCTTGGGTATTTTTAACTGTATTTAGGATGTTGAGGTATTACAGAACGACTTAGGTTAGTTGATGAATTAAATAAATATATATATAGCAAAAACATCTGTAAGTATAATAAGTGCATGGGTTATCATAAATTGGATCACATGTTTAATATAAATGATAACCCACTGGATATCGTCAAGAACAAAATCTTGGCATAGTGGTAGATAAGTAGTAAATCAAACAGAACTTTAGGATTTTATTAGGAGGAACTCAATTTGAGACTGATAAAGTTTACAGACTGTTGGAATGGGTAACGAAGAAAACTTATAACTATATTGATTCCAAGTAAAAACAGGTAATCATTTCTCTGTATAAAACACTAGTTAGGCCTCACTTGGAATAATGTACAGTTTTGTTCTCCTTATCTAAGAAAATATATTAACTTATTGTTATAGGTTCAAAGAATGGTTACTAAGATAATTCTAGAAATGTAAAGGTTAGCTTATAGGGTTAGTTTAAGATATCTTAACTTTATTTGGGGGGGGGGGGGGGTTCTAGAGAAAAGAATAGCAAAAGGTGATCTTGCTGAACTTCAGAATATTGTCCAGGGGATCAAGAAAAAGTTTTTGTGTTGTACTCTGAAAACAACAGGACGAGAGGACACAAGTTTAAGATTTGAAAAAAGTAGAAGTTAGGCCCAAGATAAAAACGGTTTTCTTTTTTTTCTGACAGGGTGATTGGCTTATAGAAAGAGTTGCCGTCGGCAGTAGTGGACATCAACTTTAAATGATGAGATTCAATGATTTCCTGAAAAAAATAAAAGGTGTGTGTTGGGGGGGGGGGTAAATCTGGAGGGACTTGTTATAAATATGTTATGATGTAATCAGGTCCAAAGCATCTGCTAGACTGATAATTGACCAAACCTGACCATGTTAATCAAACACTGGATTCGTTACTCCCATAACGGTCTTCACCCCAGTATCGCGTTTTAACTATCACGAGGACCGAAACCTTGCATTAACAACTGTGATGTGAGGCTTATGTGAAAGCCCATCTGTGAAACACATTAACATAGTTGTACATGACCGCAGTCATGAACTGTTGTTAAAGTCCTGAATGATGGATATAATACCAGATATGCTGTTTCATTTCAAAAAACGTTTCAAAGCTTAAAGAACTGAAGATTGACTAATTTTGGAATGTTGGAGTGATTTTCTACAGTGACATGTCCAATACTCTTTATCTATCTGAGTTAAGAATACAGGCTGATTTTTTTGAAACTCGTAGCATCCTTAGGTAATAACTTCTACCAAAAATGGATACAAAAATATAATGTAGTGTAACTACTCGCTGTATAAAAGAGCTGGTACGTTAATCTCTATAGTCTCGGAATAGGTTAATAACCCACGACTGCAGCAGAAAGAGACTACAAACACAATTATATAATTTCTCCAGAATAGTTACTGAAAATAAAATGTAGTGTAACCACTCACTGTGTACCCAATAGCTATTCCTCTTTGAATGTCAATGGGTTTCTTATCTTGTGGTATCTCGACTCAAAGTTGGTGCCTAAGTAATACCAATACTTGGTAGGTAGTTTGGTTAAAATCTAACAAACCCCGAAGGGGTTTGAGAGACAACCAGGGGCGCTCAGAAACAGTTGTTTCCCTTGCCCCACTCGCGGAATTAGATTTAATATTTTTAGTGGCAAGGTGGGTTTTTCTGATATTGGCGATATGTTGACGAGAATTAAGATTAAATGGTGTTAGAGTGTCCGGTGTTTATTTGTTGTTGTTGTTCTTTTGTCCTTATATTCCTCGTAAAATTTTACAGATTTCATAGCAGTTAAATCTGGAGATATACGATGTCAATCCTAAGTTTTGTAGTTTTTATGTAGTGTTTAATTTTGTAGCGTTTTGAGCCTATCCTTCCACTTGTTATCTTTCCAGATTTTTTTCTTTCTTGCATTGCACTGTTGCAGCATAAAAACCTTTCATAGACACCTAGAATCTATAAGTATTATTCGTGTATGTATTTTTTTTCTACATGCATTTGTTTTCAGAGTGAGTACTCCCTTCATGCAAATAACATCACATTAAAGACTTATTTTTTGCAAGATGGTTTCTTTGTACATTATTTATAACCAAAGTTTTATCTTTAGACGAACCAAGTTCTCTATAAGATAGTAAATAAAATACACTCACCGTGCCAACTGTGGCAGGATTAATTAGTTATACATTCACTATCTATATTTTCCCTCTAATGTGGTGCAATATGACGACGGATGTAATACAGTGTAAATTACACTCACCTTACCAACTGTGACAGGATGAATTGAAACTGTTAAACATGTTACTATCGGAGATTCAACACCAAGAGACTCTAATCTTTTATAAAGGACTTAATGCGAACATAATTAATTTTTCTTCACGGGGAATGACTTTGGTATAGAAACTTCGTTTGGTGAGTAGAAAGTAGAATTAATTAAATGTCAAACGGTTATAAGAGATTTAATTTCTATATACCTTCTAATTAAAATTTATAGCAATCATTTACAGTTCCTTTAATAAATTAGCAAGCATGGCGCTCAGTTTCAACATTATTTGAAGAAACGATAAAAACAAGAACAGAATGTAAATATAATAAAATAAGACCGTTTGTCTTGCATCTCGTATCTTTATTGATCTTCCTACATTGATCCAAATGTAAAGCAGGAAATCTCTGTAGGAATATGCTAGGGCGTAGTCAGTGGTCACGAGGCTGCTACGTCCTCTAGCGATTCTTTACTGACCACCTCCTATAGATCAATATTTCATAATCACCTCCAACCAACATACAAATATGATTCATTCGGGAAATACGTACAAGAAATTTAAATTGAACTGTGTCGTTTTATTTAAAACTCCTAAACTATTTAATTAAAAAACAGGCAAATATATATACGGAGATACAGTATGTAAATTAGTGAATAAATTCCGTTATGCTGTTAAATGCTTTCATTAAAAAATGACTTCATCTCTAGCTTATCTTCACAATTTTCAGTTTTATAACACGTACATCAAGTGAGCTCTTTCAAGTACAGAATAGAATTAGTATTTTTATTGCCTAATTCAAAGCCACGCACGAACAACACTGTGTATGTTAATTAAAGGTTCTGTATTTGTAACAATGTCATTTAGGTTACTGTCGGACTCAGAAAGTCGCCAAGTCAACTATTAGCAGGTCTTATTAATACACATTAAATGTCTTTCCTTACAGTTAAGTACGTTCTCATACTTTTTTGAGCAAATATTAATTAACAATGAACTTTTGGATAAGTATTATTTTCAACTTCTGCTACGCAGTTCGGAGCTGCTATATATATATTATTTTAATTCGCTCCTTAACAAAACATATACGCTATACGGGAAGGTTCAACTCCAAACAATTTAATCCATTTAGACAAATAACTTTACCAATACAGAGCAAATGAAGTTTTTCACTTACCCTAGAAAAATTTGAATCATTTTCAAGTGCCTCGTAAATTGACTCTGCGTATGTCAGAACATTCAAACAGCATAAAAGGCTCAACGTAAGTAGTAGTTTCATGATTTATTATTATTATTAATTTATTAGAAGATCGCGATCACGTGGCATACACAGAACTACTAAAGCCTTCTTCCACAACTTTTTTCTTTTCTTTTTATGTGGACAATAGACCGTTCCTCAGTCACATAACTCGGTGTCCTCCAAGTACCGTTATCGCCTTACTGTCGATGTCCTATCGTACTAACGCGGCGTTACTGCAGTTGCTATGGCGGTTATAAAACCTGTGACGTCTCAAGACCCAGAAGATAATTATATGGATTTTTTGTGTTACCACATTGCATCCAACTGGCAGCACTTAAAAATATAAATGGAGCTAACACAATTTCTCCATCAACAAGCTTTCAGCGTCCTGTCGTCAGCTTGTTTGATTTGTTACTATATTCGAGTTCCCAATTCAGAGAGTGGTCAACCGAAGAAGAACCTAGTTTACAGGAGAGAGCATGTAAGCAGTGAAGGTGTTACGAGGTTAGGTTCGCCACTGAGCCTGCGTGATCATGGTGCACAGAAAGCATTAGGAGTATGGGACTATGGGTAGTTACTGCAGCGTACACTACTGCTTTACCACGCCCATTCTAACAGACGTGACTTAATCTTTTAGATTTATAGTTGCAAACAACTTAAAAACATATTATTAATTACTTTTGCTTCCAATCGCAGTTAAATCTTGTACTTAAAAACAAGTGCGTACTTTAACAAAAATAAAGGATTAGAAAAACACTTCTTCCACGCATAAAATATCAAGGAATCGATGGCAAAAAACTTAAAGAAACAAAAGATAAAGAGTCTCCTTTGTTTTCTTAATATTTCAATTATCAAGTCAGAAGTTTTTTTGAATTTTTACAGCCCAAAGTAAACTAGATATAATATTAAAGTAAAATATCGCCTTCAGCTGTCATTTAGTGCTGCCCTCTCATGAATAAACAATAAATGATTTTTAAAAAAAATACTAAAATGTGTAACCAAAACAGTAAGTTAAAAATTGCTCAAACTTTTCTTTGTTTTTCACATACTTACGCAACTGACTATGATTAGTTTGTAATTATATTTACATTTATTTCACTTTTTAAGATGTTTCTGCCGAATACAGAAGCAAGCACAAATTTTAAAAAAAAGTATTTCAAAAATTGTACTAGCCTTGAAAAAACCGCACAGACGAAACGTTGGTTAAAATAAAAAAGTCCTCTTATAATTATCTGGAGTGTAGAGGTCGTTTTATTTTTTAATTTTAATATCAAATTAAAAATGTAATTTGGAACAATATAAAACTATACTTCGCAAACATCGAGTTTTAATGTTTATAAGACTGAGATTTTTTTAATACATCGTTTTAATGCACGTAGCAACAAGATTTTAAAATAAAGAAACTAAAGCACCTGTAACTTCCCCACCATACTTTAATTTTTCTGGTTATTTTCAGTAATAGCAGGTGTATTTGTTTGATGGTATATTTTTCTTTTTTGAGTAAAACCACATTCGGTTCTCTTCCGTGTCCATCGTGGGTAATTGAACCCCAGATTTTAGCGTTGTAAGTCTTTTAAATTTACAACTGTCTTGACGTTAAGTAAACTGATTCATCAACAGGTGTTTATAATCATTTATCTGGGTCTTATGGTTTCATCCTTAAAATTAATACTCTTCTAAATGGTTAGATATTATGATGAATTTTATCATAAATATAAAAGATATATCGCTTTTTTTTCTTTGTTTACAGAAGACCCTAATATTCGTTTCAGATGAAAGTTTGGTCTTATTGTAAAATATCAATTTCTGATTTGAAGATACTTTGAAAATACAAATAATGTATGTTGCACAATTAAAAACAACAACTGGTTTATCTTTAAGGTAGTGAGCGATGTACGGACATGTTTCATTGGTTTATCTTCTTTATTTGTTGATAGAACTTTTAAACACGAACTTATATTCAATATAGTTGTGTTTTCTAACAGAAACAAGCAAGTCCAAAAATCATCTAGGTAACTTAGATAAAAACCACGATCACATTATTATGAAGTTGAGAAATATTATTTTTTTTATATTCTCGTAACTTTGTTTTGTTTTGTTGTTGTCGTTTTTTAATTAAGGCCCAGTTACCATTAATATTCTTCATAATTTATTTCATATAAATTCCGAATAATTTTCTGAATACAATATTCAACTTTGGTGAATTTACTTAAATTATAAAATTGTATACTAAATTAAGCTAATGTTTGTTTGCCCTGTTACTATAACATTGAGCGGAGTTTTTTTGTTTGTTAGTTTTTAAATAGCAAAGCCACATCGAGATATCTGCTGTGTCCACCGAGAGGAATCGAACCCCTGAACTTAGTGTTCAAAATCCATAGACTTACCGCTGTCGCAGAGGGGAGCCATTGAGCAGCGATTAGCAGTCTTGATCTCAACTTTTTTCATATTACTTGGCATTGCTGGGGGTATAAAGAAGGCTGACCTCACGCGCGTTCCCAATTCAGCTGAGGGTACTACGCCATGGTGTAACTTGCGTATATGTATTAATCCGGGCTGATGTCTCGCAGAAGCCGATGTTTTGCGATCCTGTTTCACGCCCCTGCAGGTCAACAACATTCCTCCCCCTCCTTTGAAACTAAAGTGGATTTTGATCACGAGTAATAATCTAATGCTGGGCGAACAAGACGTTATAATTTTACATTCATAAACTGTTTCTTTCACTAATGACTCACATCAAATTTAGGTACATGTGCATCATTAATTTCAAAAATGATTCTCATTGAAAAAATCCTGACGACGCCCATATATTAAAAGTAACTCGGAAACTTGGTTATATATATGTTGTATATAGAGATGGATAGATACACACATGTACATATTAAAAATTAAACAAGTGAAGTTGAAATACCTAAATATTCAAATGTTTGGTTTGAATTTCGCGTAAAGCTACACGAGGGCTATCTGCGCTAGTCGTCCCTAATTTAGCAGTGTAAGACTAGAGGGAAGGCAGCTGGTCATCACCACCCACCGCCAACTTATTTAGCAACAAATAGTGGGATTGATCGTCACATTATAACGCCCCCACAGCTGAAAGGGGCGAGCATGTTTGGTGTGACGGGCCTTCAACTGTAGTAGGTTACTGCCAATAAGTTACATCCCTGAAGTAGGTGGTTCGAAATTAGTGACGGCGTCGCGCTATCTGGCTTTCGCACTGACAGACGTGCAGCGACAGTACTCCATAATTGATAGGAGGAGAGCCTATGCCACCAACGTGTATTTAGTCTCTGCCTGTGCTGAAAATCCCTCCAACGTGAAGGTATGATCATGGTTGCTTATCTTTTGTTTCATGTGCCAAGGTAAATTAAGTAGATTTAATAACATACGACACAGTAATGTTGAGTTTTGTGTTTATAATATTGATTAGGGTCAAATAAACTGTTGATCTTCCCGTCTAATTAAATTTCTAGCCAGTAGACCTGATTGCGCCTGGTGGTTAGGACGCTGAACTCGTAATCCGAGGATCGGGAGTTCGAATCCCTTTCGCCGAACATGCTCGTCGACTGGGCCAGCCACCCGGGTGTACAATTTATTGTCTTAGAAAAATACTGGCCGAACCCGAACTAGTTGGGATTAAGGTTTTAAATGGAAAGTAAAAATTAAAAGTCCTGATTGTTTAACAATTATATTTGATAAATTGGAAATTGTGTTTTAACCGTTTTTTTTTTTTTTATATATGTACCCAAAATATACGAAATTTATAACTAGATGGCTGCTGATGACAGAATCTAAATCTTTTTGCGAGTCCTAATTTTTTTTTAATTATAAAATTTATATATATTTTAATTAAAATGTAATTTATTATAAACACAAAGAAAGTTTTAGAAAACGGATGGTTTTGTTTTTAGTTATTCAGATTACTGGTTTTAAATTTAATATTTTTGTTAAACTTTGCTCAATTCCCTAGCTCCACTTGATTACCTAACTTGTAGCTTTCATTTTGGTCATTATTTGAGGCAGTATTTTAATACTGCTGTGTCAGCATTTCAGTTGTTTTTCCGAGCAAAGTCAATAAACAATCATCCGACACAATATCAATCACCTTGTCTTAAAGCGCGCTTTTTTTCATACTGAATTGTTCATTATTACCACCTAAAAATATCACATTTCAAATCAAAGACTGAATTTCCGTTCATATTTCAGTAGAAAATAAATCTGGCAGTTTTCACTCATTTTAACATTTCATATTAAACGAAAGTTATTAAATATAAAACAGGATTACTTTCCAAACATCGCCAAAGATTGGTGTATGGATTACGAACGAACTATTCGAAGTTGAATATAAATAGGAACATTTGATAGACATCACTGCGGATTTTAGATTTCCTGAAACTCGTAACAGGTTCTAAACATAATTATAAAACGCATAGTTTGTTTTGAATTTCCCGCAAAGCTACACAAGGGCTATCTGCGCTAGCCGTTCCTAATTTAGCAGTCTAAGACTAGAGGGAAGGCAGCTAGTCATCACCACCCACCGCCAACTCTTGGGCTACTCTTTTACCAACGAATAGTGGGATTGACAGTCACTTATAACGCCCCCGGCTGAAAGGGCGAGCATGTGTGATGTGGCGGGGATTCGAACCCGCGATCCTCAAATTGCGAGTCGAGCGCCCTAACCACCTTGCCATGCCAGGCCTAAAACGTATAAATTGAATATATTAAATATCAAAACCTGCAAATTTGCAGCAAAATAAACAAACTTTTCGCTAACAATGTAATTATTAGTTTCTGCCTATCAATTAAATACATATATTTATATAGAAACACCAGGTACCGGGAAACATTTGTATAACACCACTATAAATATATCCTTTAATATAGGTACTCTTTTTTTGTCGCAAGAGATTTCTTAGTCTTATTCTCCGCTTAATTAACTCACTGATAACACATTAAACGGCATTCATGAATTACTACTCCACCAGGAAGTTCTTACAACAATAATTGAACAATGAGTAAACAGAAAGAAAAAAAAAAAAGATCCGAAAAATTTTGAAACAGTAATTCATAAAAAAACTACCAATACAAACAATAATATACTGGTGTTAAGGTTCTTAAATTGTAACTATCACAAACTTCTTTCACAGAAAAAAAACAACACATTTACTCTGTCAGTTGTCAGCAAACAAGCTTACCTCTCTCAGAAGTTTATTAATTACTTTTAAACTTTACCAACAGAATAAACGCAACAGAAGTTTATCAATTACTTGTACACTTTGCCAACAGAATAAACGCAACAGCAGCTTATTAGTTACTTTTACACTTTGCCAACAGAATAAACGCAACAAAGGTTTAATTACTTTTACACTTTACCAACAGAATAAACGCAACAGAAGTTTATTAATTACTTTTACACTTTACCAACAAAATAAACGCATGAGAATGTTTATAAAATACATAATTTTCACTACATTATGTGATCTTGAATGTGCTAAGTACTTACAACTGTTGTTTACTAGTATCAGATAAACAGGATCATTATAACCCACACAGTCTAATGTCTCAACCATTACACAGTTCTTAAAATTACAAAAGAAATAATTAAAATTATCAATAATTCTAGAAGAGTAGAAGAAAAGTGAGTATGGATTAAAATTTTGATTTTGTTGTGATTTCATCAAGTATACTTTATCTAAATACTTTCATTGTACAGGTCACTGGTTAGGCTACATTTGGAATATTATGTTCAGTCTTGGGCTCCTTTCCTTAGGAAGGACATTGAATTGTTGGAAATGGTTCAGAGAAGTGTTACTAGAATGTTGCCTGGGATGGAGGGGTTGTTATACAACAAATTGTTTTCACTTGAAAAAAGAAGAGTTAGGGGGGATCTGATTAAGGTGTTTAAGATTGTAAAGGGAATTGATAGTGTTGATGAATCATCTTTTTTATATTTAACAATGAGAATAGGATGGTAAGGGGACACAAATATAAATTTTGGCAAGGTAGGAGAGTCATCTTCAGCTAAAACAGTTTTATTTTTCTAACAGGGCAGTTGGCCTTTGGAATGGGTTG